CCTCCCCACAAAGGACCAGACATCTTTTTGGTTCTCCTTTCTAATCTGTCTCTCAAACTTGGCCTCCTTCCCTCTATCCTTACTCTGCCCCTCTGAGTCTCTGCCTCCTTCAAGAATCTTCTCCTCCTTTCAAGGGTCTGCTTTCACTTGTCTGGAATATAGGTTTTGGCCTCTCAGGACTTCCCTAGTTTCATATTGCTGCAGATTACCCTGACAAACCTAAAAGTAGAACAGCAAATAGAAGACTCCTTCCTCTCAATAGACAGGAAAGGTATAATCTATATTTATTTTTGGGGGGCAAGGAGGGGGACAGGGTCTCACTCTGTCACCCAGACTGTACTGCAGTGGCACAATCTCGGCTCACCACAACCTCCGCCTCCCGGGTTCAAGTGATTCTCCTGCCTCAGCCTCCTGAATAGCTGGGATTACAGGTGCGTGCCACCACATCCAGCTAACTTTTGTATTTTTAGTAGAGACGGGGTTTCACCATGTTGGCCAGGCTGGTCTGGAACTCCTGACCTCAAATGATCCACCCGCCTTGGCCTCCCAAAGTGCTGGGATTACAGGCGTAAGCCACCAAGCCCAGCCATATATTTTATTTTTACTAACCCTTTGTGATTGATAGAGAAAAAAATATATAAATCTTGTTCAGAATGGATTTAGATCAATAAGAATCCTTTTTAACACATACTTTAATTGTATATAAATTAATCCATGGTCTCCCATGACCCCCATCATGAGATTTTTCTCACATTATCCAGAAATAATAAATCCAGAAACAGCTCACCTTTAATATAACTCAAGCACCTACAAGAAAATAAGCATTAATGAACACTTCTATCACAGACATAGGGTATGATGCACCATCCCAAAAAGAAAAGAGGAAAAAGAAAACTAAGTGAAGGCAGCAATTCTATTAGGATATATCTTCTATGCTTGGTTTGTGCACTCGAACATAAGAAGCTTACCACAGAAATCATCTTTTAACAGTATCTGATGGAGTACTTTAAGCATTCTAAGGGAAGATAAGATTAAAAATAGTCAAACTCTAATAAAGAATGAGAACTATACTCAAGGTTAAGCATTACTATTAAATACATCTATATGTATATAATAGATTTGTATATTAATTTCTAATTCTTTTCTATTTTAAAAAATAGTGAAAATCCTCAGGCAGTTGTGGTTTACAAGAGCATTCTCTGTTCTGTTCCAGAATTTTTTGTTCTTACATTTATTGGAAACTATAGATCCTCTTTCATTTGGCCTATTCACATCACATCCTGCTATCAAGGTCTTTACCACTAACTGCATCGCAGACTTACCCTCCAGTTACATGATCAAACAAGTCAAGTCTGGATTCTTCCTAAAAGACATTTTCTCCAATAAACTTGCTGTTAAACATCTGAGTTGAGTCATTTACCATGGAATGGGCACAGTGCCTTGTAGCACCTCTCTCATGTATGCTATGAGTGAGTCCACACTGAGTGAGAGGAGCGTCTTAAGGATGCTCCTTTGAATGGAAACAGTAATTTCCAGAATGAATTAGAATTAAAGATCCAGCACAGGCAAAAATGCATGTGGATGGTATATCAGGACTCTTAACAGTGGCAAAGAAAAAACTCGGAGCAGCTTCCATGAGAACTTGCATCACTTCACATAATGAAGAGTCTAGGGGCAGGAACTCATTAAGCCAGAGAAGCAGCTCCGTGACATCAAGCACTGTACAACCTCTCACAACCACATCCAATGGCAGACCAAAGTGGCTCTCCAACTCTAGATCCTTTCATAAGGGAGGGAAACCTTTCTCAAAAACCCCCAAATGGAACTGCCCACGACAGTGTACGTAAAAAAATAACCTGGATCACGTTCCCATGACCTAGAAGTTAGAAAAATGTAAATCTGATATTTTCTGCTTCTAAATACAACACTTGCTTAATAAAATTGTAATAATCCTTCCTAACTGCACAAATTCAGTTTTATTCTTGTGCCATCTAAATTCAAACTTACTAAGGTTTAGAAATAACCTAGTTTGATTGGTGGCATTTTTTTTTTAATTCTAAAAACCAACCTTATCTACGTTAGGCCTACTTTGAGGGTTAATATTTTGAGGGTTAAATATTTTCAAACCATATACACTGTTAGATATCAGTACTAATTTCCAAAAAATAATATTAATGCTTACCCAAAAAAGAGAATCTTGAAGCAATTGTAAGCCTAAAACCATAACGAAAGTATATCTTTTTTATCCTCTATCCTTTTCATATCCTTTGTAGAACAATGTATCTAAGAACTTTGATTCTGTTCTTTTCAGCATAACTTTTTCAACAGTCATTAATGTAAATAAAGTGGCATGACAAAGTCAGTACCCTAGAGTTGATAAAATGTGTTTCTACTTCCAGAGCAAAAATAAATGACTGGTCAGCTTGAACTTTCTAGAATGTTAACCATCTGCCAAATTATTCAGAACCTTCCTAGGAAGAGCCATGATCCTCCACACACTAATTAAATGAGTCAATGCTGTAATCACACTTTAGATAACTAATCTATTTCAATCCTGATAATTTAATTACCTAATTCTGGTAAACAAATTTCAACCTTAGTCCAAAATGATTAGAGGATTAAAGTTGAAAATCAGTGAATGCAAACTGAAATAGATCCACATAACAACGTTCAAAACAGTTTATTTCTTTAAAGTATGTTTATTATCTCAAATTCAAGAATTAATATGAACTATCATGCCAAAGTTTTCTAAACCAGTTCTAACTGATGTCATATCTCTTATAATTATACTAAATGAATTCCTACTTGTTAGATTTACAATTCCTTAACAGGGTAGTCTTCACTGACATGAACACTACACAAAACATGAACACTATCTACACTCACCCGTCTGTTATTCTTTTTCCATATCACATTTCACCTCCTATTACATATATGTTTATGTGTTTCTGTTATGTACGTCCAGTGCTGCTCCAGAGGACGCAGTGATAGATTATCTTCACGCACCATCTCTAGTGCCTAAAATGCTGCCTGACCTGCAGTGGTGCTATCTCGGGTCTCTGCCTTGTGGGCTCAAGCAATCCTCCCACCTCAGCTTCCTGAGTAGCTGGGACTACAGGCACAAGACACCACATCCAGCTAATTTTTGTATCTTTTATTGAGACAGGGCCTTACTATGTTGCCCAGGCTGGTCTCAAACTCCCGGGCTCAAGTGATCTGCCTGCCTATGCCTCCCAAGGTGCTGGAATTACAGGCATGAGTCACCACACCTGGCCTTATAGACACTTAAAAAACAACAACAAAAAAAAACCCTTAGAAATGTAAACTTACAAATAGTAAATCTGTATTTTTACTGATGTACTTTTCCCTATATTTTAAATTATGGTATAATGATTACGATAACAAGAACAATAAACAAATTACAAAGAAAAACAAATGATTGCTACCACCACCACTGCTACCACAAAAGGCAGTCACTAGTCATAAAATATGTTGTGTTCTAATCATGGAATAAACAATTTAATTTTGTTTTTATTATTACTTTAGAGACAGGGTCTCACTCTGTCACCCAGGCTGGAGTACAGTGATGTGATCGAAGCTCACTGCAGCCTTGAACTCCTGGGTTCAAGCAATCCTCCCACCTCAGTCTCCCAAGTAGCCAGGACTACAGGATCTCATCACCACATCCAGCTAATTTCTTTTTCTGGTCGAGACAAAGTTTTGCTGTGTTGTCCAGGTTGCTTTCAAACTCCTAGCCTCAAGAGGTCCTTCCACCTTGACATCTCAAACCACCATGCCTGCCCATTTAACTCTGATAATGAGTCCACTATGTAGGTATTCCCATTTTATGGTAAGGAAATTGAGAATCAAAGAGGTAAAATAAGATTTCCAAGGTCAGGCAGAGATACATAAGCAGATCCAAAACACCAGAGCTCTGACTCTTAACCGACCAATACCAATTTGTGATATATAAGTATCATTAAAGGACAAAGGCAATTAGTATCAGTATCATAGTAGCAGGGATACAAAGTCCATCTATACAAAGAGCTAAAAAAAGCACAGTACTCATCGTGATTTCTATACCTGAAGAGCAAGTTGCCAAAACATGAGACATGTTTAAAAATTAAACATCACTTGTGTCTTTCTTCCAAAAGAAATACCTCAGAGTCACTGGTCTAGCAGATAAATGTAGTTAAAGTATAAATAACTTATGTTCTCGTAACCTGAACTTAGGTTAAAATACACAAGGAAAACTAGTGTGTTAAGCTACTTTTTCCTAATCCAATTCTGTTGTAAATTGAGCCAAAATCATTTTCTACTGTCTTTCTACTGATTGCTTCTTCATTGGCTTCCATTTTATATTCTTCATCCAATCCATTTATTCACAATTTGTATATGACTAGTCAAGCTCATTTGTTTTCCCATGAAATAAATGCAATTGATTCTGTGTGCCAGTCATGGTTTCTTAGACATTTAGTCGTTACTTCCGCCCACATATTTCATGTGTCTCTAGAAAATTGGCAGCCACATAGAGGCCTAATGCTCCTTTTAATATCAACATTTATAATTTGTTACAAGATAATTTTATTCATAGGGAGATTCACATTACTAAGATACACTTCTAAGCCAATATTATGTACCTTGATGTAGACAGTAAAATCAGTCTCACTTTTCTATAACGCAAATATCACTCTGATTTATAAGTGACATTAAAAATCAAATGACTATATTAATTCACTAACAAGGAAAGGTGACAGAGTAGTCCCCCCACAGTGTTTCTGAACAATGTAACTAGCTAAAAAGCACAAGCAGCTTAAAAGTTATAAGATGAGAAACATTTTTAATTTAAACAAATGTACAATACTTGTGCCCTTAATTATACATTCAGAAGCCCTCTGATTACAGTTGCCCACAAACTTAAGCACTTCATTAAACAAATGTGTTGTTTTCCATATGAAAACATGTTCAGCAGTATTTTTCAACTTGACAGTTTTACTTACTGTCTTAGAAGCAGTATTAATGTACTGCATCACCATTTCTTTTTTGATACTGAAGTCCTTTTCCCGCAATGGTGCCTTTTTATCTTCATTTAAATTCATATCTTCCTGGAAAACACAATTAAAATGCCTCAGTTTGGAATCTAAGTAGAGCAGCAATTCTACATGCACTACGAATGGAAAAATCAATAATTTGTGACTAAAGCAGCATTAATTGCTTTGGAATGATTTACGTGTAGTTCTGCCTGAAGGAAGGAGAGAAAAAAGAGCTGGAGAGGGAGAGAAAAAAGTATTCTAGATCATTTTAACAGGTAAAATACTTACCAAAAGAACTTTTAAAATTCACAGCAGGTAAATAAAATTACATTCACATCACTATAGATAATTAGACAGTTGCAGATTTCTGCCATTCATAAGGTCATTAGGATTCACAATTTCAATATATTTATGTATTTTTACAACAGCTGCACCTGAAGCTATCTTGCACTTGCTTTGAAAGAGCTGCGTGTGAGTCAAAACAATTAAAAAGTAAATAAACCAACCAAGTTTCAGATTCTGATAGCCGCAAGCACATATCAAATATCCAGTACTGATTCCAGCAAAGGACAAAGCACTTTATAGTTTTGTCTTTTCCCTACTCTTATCAAAAATGTTAACTAGTTAACTTATTGAATGTTCTAAGTTACATAAAAGTGGTACTTATAAAAACAGCTACCACCTAAAATCGAACATTTCTCAACAGCACCAACCAAAATAAGGGTTTAAGTAACCAAGATCTTGCTACAAGCTTAATTTTAACTAAAAATTCAAGTCAGGTATATATCCACATAAATATATGAATTGCTCTTAATTAAGCTGCTAAAGTAAGAGGCTGTTCTGGCAAAAGAAAGGGCGTCTGAGGTAAGACAGAAATGGCTAAAGGAGAAGGGCAGCTCAAATGAATGTCCTCGTGAACTTAGCCCTGAGTCATTTGTGATGTGCAATGTAAAATATCTGAATGTATATAAACTTCATATCTACTCAGAATGGATCATAAAATTCAGGACTTTGGATCACCTATGGAGCCTAGCAAATTAAATTTCTTACAGATTTTATAAGGGTGCTACATTCATCAAACACTGTAGTTTATGCCTTTAGCTGACTCAATTCTTGGCTACCAAACCCTTCAAGCACTTAAAAGTCAAAATTCTCTTCATTTTACCTTGATAGAAATATTTAAGATCTTAGAAGCCGTTCCATTTGACACTACAATAAAAGGTAGTAATTAGTAATGTCACTTTTGCTGTTTTAGTTAGAAACACCCAATTATGTGAATAAAGGTTTGTTTTGTTTCGTTTTTCTTGTCTAAGCTAGTGAGGGAAGGCTCAGTAGGCCTTAATACGACACAGGAAACATTTTGGAAATTTTGGAAACTTCTTGAGGCATGTTAGTTGTCACAATAATTGAGGTGATGCTACCAGCATTTACAGGGGTAGCATCACAGTTTGACCTGTACAGTAAAAACTACCTTGTGCCCCACAGAGAGATTCACATACCTTAAAAAGAGAGAGAAAAAGAATCATCCTTAATTAAGCCTAATTCAATGGAACTGTTGCAGGACAGGTGAGCCCCAAATTTGGGGCTTAGCCCAGCGGGGCTCATGGCTTCATCATAGAAAGAATTCAAAGACAAGGTGGTGTTACACAGCAACCTTTTATCGAATGGTGCTGCTCCTTGCGGAGCAGGGCTAACTCACAGGCAGTGTGCCCAGAGTCAGCAATGTATGGGCTCTTGGCAACTGTAATTATACTCACTTAAACCCACTTAGCTATATGCAAATTAGGGGGTGGGTCAATGTAAATTATTACTTAGAATTTTCTAGGAAAGGGGTGGTAACTTCTGGGCCATTGCCATGGCATTTGTAAACTGTCATGACGCTTGTGGGAGTGTCTTATGCTAATGAGTAATTAGGGCAGCTAGGGATTGCTTTTGCCCCATCTGCCAGTTTTTGCTGTTTTTTTTTTTTTATACTTTAGTCTGTCTGGACCAGTTTCTGTTTTGATCAGCAGTGTTGTGACTAGAAAACACGTTCTGCCAGTCTCCTATTCCAGAAATAGATGTAAAATGTAAAGTTATTACATATTAAATACTTTATATTGCATGGTTTTACTTTACTGAATTTTCCAAGAATCAAACTATTCTGTAAATTATAGTTACACTGTGCTTTTTTTAAGCTTTACCAATACTTGTGCTTCATCTCTGAAATGTAGATGTCCCAGGGAAATACTGTTTGTGGTATCTGAATCTCCAAAACAGCACAACTATATCAATCTACCAATCTACAATGCCACTGCTGTACTCACAGAGGTATGAAGCAGAGATTCAAGAGTGTGAATTTACTATACCTTCTTGAGTAGTCATGGCCAATTGTTTAAATTGAAATACATATTTTTATTATATAGTACAGTAAGACATATTGATTTTCTTAATTTATGAACATAGGTAACCTTATCCACAAAGAATTTCACTGGAAGAAAGTAATGAGATAGTTAGGGGATAATTGTTAGAAAACATGGGGGAACCTGAGAGCACTGGGAAGTTCTGTTTTAAATTATTCACTGTATTTTTATTTTCAGACTAATGGCCAAACATTATCCAGTCTCTTTAGTAAATTAAAATATTTAATATATACAGAATACCAAAAAACAGAAAGTCCTTTAGTTATGGCTGAAACTGAAATAAAACTTCAAGGTGAGTAGTAGAAAGAATTTTTTACAAAGGCCTCTGCTTTCTTTTTGGAAACACATCTTGATGATAACACCAGTTCATACACAAAAGTGGTTGTGATGGTTAATTTTGGGGGTTGGTTAATTTTAGGTGTGATGGTTAATTTTAGGTTAGTCTTCTGGCTTAAAGTATACCCAGATAGCTGGTAAAGCATTATCTCTAGGTATGTCTTTCAGAAGAGATTGGCACTTGAATCACTGGACTGAGTAAGGAAGAGCTGCCCTCATTGTGGGCAGGCACCATCTAATCAGCTGAAAGCTTGGATAGAACAAAAAGGCAGAAGAAAGGCTAAGTCTCCTTCTCTCTTCTGGAAATGGGACAAACTTCTTCTGCCCTTGGACATCAGAACTACAGGTTCTTCAACCTTTGGGCCCTGGGACTTCCACCAGTGGCACTCCCCCTGGAGTTCTCAGGCCTTAAGCCACCTCCTCAGCCTCCAACTGAGTTACGCCAACAACTTCCCTGGTTTTGAAAATTTGGAACCTGAACTGAGCCACGCTGCTGACTTTCCTGGTTCTCCAGCTTGCACACAGCATACTATAGGACTTCTCACCCTTTATAATCATGTGAGTCGGTCCTCCTAATAAATCCCCTCTCATAGACAGGCAGACATCCTATTGGTTCTGTTTCTCTGGAGAACTCTGACTAGTACAGTGATACATCTGGAATTAAGGGAGAAACTCAAAGTTCCCCCAGCTGTTTCCAATGGTTTTTCCCACCTCTTTTGCCTAAATATGGCACTCACCTTCCTGACAAAAGTATGATGACAGTCGTAGTGTAAAAAACAAAAAGGAGACAAATAATACTTGCTCCAATTTGGATGATGTCCCGTGCAAATCTCATATTTAAAGTTGATCCCCAGTGTTGGAAGTAGGGCCTAGTGGGCGGTGTCTGGGTCATGGATGCAGTTCCCTCATTAATAGATTAATGACCTTCCTGGGGTGGGGGCGATTGAGTTCTTGCCCTATTAATTCTCATGAGAGTAGGCTGTTAATAAGAGTTTGGAACCTCCCCACCACCTTCTCTCTTGCCTCCTCTCGCACCATCTGATCTCTGCACACACCAGCTCCTTCTTGCCTTTCATCATGAGTGGAAGCTCCCTAAGGCCCTCACCAAAAGCAGATGCTGGTCCCCTGTTTCTTGTATAGCTTGCAGAATTGAGAGCCAAATAAACCTCTTTTTTAAATTACTTAGTCTCAGGTATTCCTTTATAGCAACATAAAAATGGATTAAGACAATACTACAAAACAAAAAAAGTTTGGAATCAATTACATGACACCCTAAACCTTTGTGGGATACCCACTAGGCATATAACTTCATTCTCCATAAGTCCAGGAGGAAATGGCACTTGAAAGAGTAAGAAAAGCTCTGCCCTTTAAAAAAGAAAAATGAGAGAGAGAGAAAAAGAAATAAGGGGGCAGTAGAGAGAAAATATGAGTGAAAGCATTAGGGGTACAGTATTTTTAGAATATATTTTGAATTTCTATTTATGGAAAACAAGGCTGAAAGAAGAAAACTCCACGAGGCAGTGGCACTTAACTTCAGGGAGTCACAAAGTCCTTAGAAAATTTATTGGGAGTTTTTTTCCCTAAAAAACGCATATCCATATTTTATGTTACAATTCCAGAAGGGTTAAGCATCTCCCAAGGCTATCTAAGAAACTAGACTTGGGAAAGGTCAGTGGGGGAGAAGTGAGCAAGTCGTCATTTTTTATGCTTCTTAGTTTATATTTCCTCAAAATTATCATGTTGTGTCTCCATTATCTAAGGTCAGTTTCCCTTAAAAGCAAAGCCTGAAACAGGGATTCAGGTGCAGGTGGGGCTGCTCTCAGGATAGAGTAAAGGAGGTAAGACAAAAGAGGAAAAAAGACATACTAAAGGTGGCCTCTGGTGGATTCTCACTTCACCCTGAAATGCACCACAGTCAAGATAACCTGGTAGCAGAAACCAGCCTCAACAGCCTCAAGTTAGTCATTAGCTGCAGAATCCTAGTTCTGATGAGGGCAAATCTCTGGAGAAAGGGGCATCTATGAGCCATTAGAAGCCAATGCTCATCACCTGGGGCATGGGTGCACCAACCTGGTAAAAAGGGGCTGGGAGGGGGTACCCACAGTACCCACTATACCATCTGAACATAATTTACTTGATATTAAAATAAGACTTCTTTCAAATTGAACTGAATAAATATAGAAACACATATAGATGACCTTAAAAAAAAAGGCAATATAAACTATTGTGTATTAACTGATCCTTCCATTCAAACACAGGTCAGTAAAACATGCTGTTTTACTGTGCTACCACACTGCATAGGTACAAAATGACACTGCAGACACAGATTGTAAA